CCCCTTGAAGTGTGACGTTTTGTGCTGCAGCCCCTTTTTAACAATTATTGCATGCCAACTAAGCTAAAATCCCCAAAACAACCTTATCCCCTCTCCTCAATCCTTCAAACCCAGTTCTCTCTCTCTCTCTCTCTCTCTCTCTCTCTTTAAAAACAAGGGTTTTCTTAAGCTCGTCGCTCTGGCCCTCGCCCTCCTCGCCGTCGCCACCTCCGCCCAGGCTCCCAAGCCTCCCCAGAGTTTGTCGCCGTCTCCCCTCCTCTCCTCCACCCGACCTCTTCGCGGTAGCTCGCCGTCGCTCCCTATCTCGCTCTCGACTACGCCGGAGTTCGTCGTTGTGCCTGCCACTTTTGAACCCATAGTATGATAGGCCGGAGGAGGATGACCAAGAGAAAAGAGTGCATGATGCCCAAGAAAAGTGAAAATGAAGGGGACAGAATAGAACTAACATTGTGCAGATTAGAACTAACACTGTAGACAGAATAGAACTAACATTGTAGACAGAATAGAACTAACATTGTAGACAGAATAGAACTGTAGACAGAATAGGAATAGAACTAACATTGTAGACAGAATAGAACTAACATTGTAGACAGAATAGAACTAACATTGTAGACAGAATAGAACTAACATTGTGCAGATTAGAACTAACACTGTAGACAGAATAGAACTAACATTGTAGACAGAATAGAACTGTAGACAGAATAGAACTAACATTATAGACAGAATAGAACTAACATTGTAGACAGAATAGAACTAACATTGTAGACAGAATAGAACTAACATTGTGCAGATTAGAACTAACACTGTAGACAGAATAGAACTAACATTGTAGACAGAATAGAACTAACATTGTGCAGATTAGAACTAACACTGTAGACAGAATAGAACTAACATTGTAGACAGAATAGAACTAACATTGTGCAGATTAGAACTAACACTGTAGACAGAATAGAACTAACATTGTAGACAGAATAGAACTAACATTGTAGACAGAATAGAACTGTAGACAGAACAGAACTAACATTATAGACAGAATAGCATATTCTTGTACTTTAACTTGGAACTAGATGCAACTTATGACTCTGTCTAGTTTCTGGTATTGGTTTATGATTCAACAAATGAGCATGCTCATATTCTTTACAGAAATTTACACCCTATCATTAGATTGAAATAGAGCATTCTGGATGTTTCGTCATTGGTTGACAATAACAGTATCAGTTTCTTAATGTGTTCCTCTGCCTGTTTAAGCTCTCGAGCTGGACTTCTGGATTACTATAGACATGTAGTTCGTTTGCATACAAGTTTTAGTGGTTTGAAATTGACTACGTGGTTACAGTTTTCTATTTTGGAAATGGGAACGTATCGTAAATCATGCAGTACAATGTTAGTTCTATTCTGTCTACAATGTTAGTTCTATTCTGTCTACAATGTTAGTTCTATTCTGTCTACAATGTTAGTTCTATTCTGTCTACAATGTTAGTTCTATTCTGTCTACAATGTTAGTTCTATTCTGTCTACAATGTTAGTTCTATTCTGTCTACAATGTTAGTTCTATTCTGTCTACAATGTTAGTTCTATTCTGTCTACAGTGTTAGTTCTAATCTGCACAATGTTAGTTCTATTCTGTCTACAATGTTAGTTCTATTCTGTCTACAGTGTTAGTTCTAATCTGCACAATGTTAGTTCTATTCTGTCTACAATGTTAGTTCTATTCTGTCTACAATGTTAGTTCTATTCTGTCTACAATGTTAGTTCTATTCTGTCTACAATGTTAGTTCTATTCTGTCTACAATGTTAGTTCTATTCTGTCTACAATGTTAGTTCTATTCTGTCTACAGTTCTATTCTGTCTACAATGTTAGTTCTCTTCTGTCTACAATGTTAGTTCTATTCTGTCTACAATGTTAGTTCTATTCTGTCTACAATGTTAGTTCTATTCTGTCTACAATGTTAGTTCTATTCTGTCTACAGTGTTAGTTCTAATCTGCACAATGTTAGTTCTATTCTGTCCCCTTCATTTTCACTTTTCTTGGGCATCATGCACTCTTTTCTCTTGGTCATCCTCCTCCGGCCTATCATACTATGGGTTCAAAAGTGGCAAGCACAACGACGAACTCCGGCGTAGTCGAGAGCGAGATAGGGAGCGACGGCGAGCTACCGCGAAGAGGTCGGGTGGAGGAGAGGAGGGGAGACGGCGACAAACTCTGGGGAGGCTTGGGAGCCTGGGCGGAGGTGGCGACGGCGAGGAGGGCGAGGGCCAGAGCGACGAGCTTAAGAAAACCCTTGTTTTTAAAGAGAGAGAGAGAGAGAGAGAGAGAGAGAGAGAGAGAGAGAGAGAGAGAGAGAGAGAGAGAGAGAGAGAGAGAGAGAGAGAGAGAGAGAGAGAGAGAGAGAGAGAGAGAGAGAGAGAGAACTGGGTTTGAAGGATTGAGGAGAGGGGATAAGGTTGTTTTGGGGATTTTAGCTTAGTTGGCATGCAATAATTGTTAAAAAGGGGCTGCAGCACAAAACGTCACACTTCAAGGGGCTGAATCACATGGGGGAAAGTAGGAGGGGCTGCAGCACATGAAGTTTCTGTTTTTGGGGCCTGGACACATTTTTCCCAAAAAATTATAAAAATAGGCCTTGGGAGCATCTCCTTATTTTATGGAGCTCCAACAAGCTCCTAGTTAGGAGCTCCAACAATATCAAAAAAACCCTCTTCTATTTTAATATTTTACCCATTATTTTTAATTATATTTAAACCTCTTGTATTTTATTTTTAACAGCATATTTTCACTCAACGGTATTATTTTCCAACAACGGTCATTATTTTTATGGAATCTTGTGCATCAAAATCAAAACTCTGTCGCCCCAAATAACACCGCTGCAGCCAATTAAAAAAAAATCAACATCAAATATCAACCCCGTCGCCCCAAATCATCTCCCCAACCGAGCTCCTTCTTCTTCGTTTCGCCAAATCTTCATCTCCTTCATCGCCCTTCTTCTTCGTTTTCGCCAAATCCAGTCCAGGCCGTTCATCTCCCTAACCGAGCGCCCCAAATCAAGGGTTCCCCAACCGAGCCCCCGTCGAATCAAACCCTCTCCCGCAACCTCCGCCGCCGCCGTCGAATCAAGGGTTCCCCAACCGCACCGCACAGCAAAGGTTTGATTTTTGGCTTCAATTTTGGTTGGATTCACTATTTTTTTCCAGATATGCAATTGTGAGCTTATGGGGGGGTTTTTGTTAAAATCTGCTGTCGTTCGGAGCTCCCAAGCGCTCCACAAATTTGTGGAGCGCTTGGGAGCTCTGAAGGATCCATCGCCACGTAGGAACAGAGAGCAGCCTTGGGAGCGGCTTCAGAGCTTGCTGGAGGGGGGGTTGGCAACATCCATCGCCACGTCAGCCTTGAGAGCCGAGTTCAGAGCTTGCTGGACTTGCTCTTAGAGCACATCCTCTCCCCTTGTGTAGTCAACGCCTTTTTCCAAATATTGTTAAAATCAATATGGATGATGTCTCAAAGAATAATGTTTTGGGATTGATATCATTGCTCGAGACCAAAGGGGTAAACATTAACTATCTACAATACTTTTGGATCTCCCTCTTTCCCATTTTAGATTGGCTCACATGCTATTTTTTTGGCCTTTTATTTGCTTGGTCTAAGGGTCGGATTGACATTATTTTGAAATCAAATTGTCTCTCTTTGTTGCTCATAATACATAGTGCTATTGTTTACCCTTAGAATATTTCTCGCGTCAACGCACAATATTGGTCCCTCTTCAAGGATTTCAAAACCTCCTCTATTCTTCTTGTTCAAAGATTGATCAGTTCTTGCATCCATGAATTAGCTCGATATACTTGCATATATAAATGTACCATCTTTGTTGATTCTCCTATTGGTCTAGACCATATGTATCAACTTCTTCTTGAGGTATATCAATAGACTCCTTCATAATTCCTAAATAAAACAAATATATGATATCAATAGACTTGTTTATGAATCCTAAAAAAACAAATATATGATTTACATTCAAATATCTTTGACAATGTACATTTTTTTATTTCAATTTTTATCTAGTTAACTAAAGAGACGAAAAAGTGTAAAAAAATATAGAGAAATAAAAACAAATTTCCTTAGACATATATAATAAGTTTAGGGCAAATTACACACAAAAATCCCGAACTTTCAAAATATCCAAAAACTCCCCTCAACTTTAGGGGTTATCAAAAAATTCAATTTCCAAGTTAAGGGGATTTTTTAAATAAAATTTCGAAGCTAAAGAGAGGTTTTGTGACAGTGTCTTTATCTAATCGGGCTATGATATTTTGGAAGTTAATAGGGTTTTTCATGTAGTAAATGTCCAAAGTTAAGGGGATTTTCCTAATATTTACCCTTTTTTAAAGTGCCATTACCCATAGGTTCGCGACCTCTACATTTGCAGCCCAGCTGGCCGTCTCTCGAGCTCTCACTTGATTGTCGACAGATACCCCACCTCCCTCGAGCCCGCGGCAGCGGTCGCAGTAAAATATTAGGCAGCAGTAACCTCTCCGCTCTCTCTCATTCAAGAGAAAGCAGAC